TGAGGTTGAGAAAAGGAAAAAAAAAGATGAGATGAGATTTGCGCACGTCGCAGAGTCGCTACTGCGCCCACCTTTGCAGTTACAGCTTACCTACAGGTCCTCGAGCACATGCACGACAGACGCAAGCTGCGCCTATTTGGCATGAAGGATCCGCCGCCCACCTTACTTTACTAAACCATCAATCTCACTCGCCCGCCGCAGAGTGCGAGTGTGTAGACCCCTCCAGACTTCCTGTCTGCAGCGGGGCGCGGGGGGATTCCATTCCCTTCCGCATCGGCGTTCGGCGGTCCCGTCTTCGGAGGGGGAAGGGGACCCACCGGTTCGGGGGTTTTTCTGGTTGATGTGCTGCATTTATATCGCCGAGTCGGGGGCCGAACATGAGTCTTTCCTGATGATGAAAAGAAACATCGTCAGCGCATTACATTCTACAAAGAACAGACATCTTTTTGCCGTAAGAACCACCAGTCGCGAATCTTTTTCCTCTTAGCAATGAAGTCGAATCAAGATCGTCTGAAGATGGACCCCGACGCACAAGTAAAACTCCCCTGTACATGGAAAAAGAAATCCCCGATATACTTCTCTTTCATCATTACTTCATAAACGTGATTCCATTCGATGCAATCTAGATTAGATCATCCACTCACATCACACACTCCAAGAAACCTCCTACGCCCTGAGTGAATACTTCAAAAACATCTTCTCCCTTGGCTTGGACGCAGAGTGCTTGTTCCGATCCACAGAGTCCTCGGGCACCCTCGCCATCTTGTTCCCCTTGGCGTCCACCAGGTGATAGTCGAACCTCGCGACAAAGAGCGCCGTCGTGACGGCCATTTCCATCTTCGCAAACTGTTTTTCCAGAGTATCAGCAGTCACGCCCGTACGAGGCATCTTGAGAAGAGATACCCAGGTAGATCGGGGAATCATGCAACACCAAAAGAAAAGACTCACCCTCATCCCAAGACACGGATGCCTCCCAGCACCCCACCCAATAAACGCATGCGGATCCTTCTTATCCTCCTCCCGCCCAGGCAAATACCGTCCCGGATCCCACCGCAACGGCTCCGGGAAGAAACCCGGATCCATGTGCGTGGTATCGAAATGGTACACAACATACGCATCATCCGGCACAACCTCACCACTCCCACCGATGGCAACATCTTTCCCGCTCCCGTTATACCGGAACCCGCACCCCGTAATCGTATGCCGGATCGTCTCCTTCAACCCCAAATCAATCATCGGAAACTCGGCCTCCCACGTCTCCATATCGAGCCTCCCCAGAATCTGCTCGGCGCTCTCCTCCTCGGACCGCCTATGCCGCGCAATAACACCGTCCACCTCCTCCTGCACCTTCTCATACCACGTCTCCTCCGTCGCCATGAAACACAGCAGGTACGCGGCGTTGATCCCGCTGTTAATCAACCCCGCAAACAGCGCGCCGACGATAAACGCAACCATCTCGACCGTGCTATCCCCGTTCTCCATCAGGTACTGCAGCGCGTCGCTCCCGGGAACCCCGCGGTCCTTCCTCTCCTTGATGATCTTCTCCAGGATCATGTACATCCGCGCGCCGCTGTACACCCTCCTCAGGTGCCCCACCGTCGGCATCCAAGGAAACATGACCTTGGTCGCCGTGCTCGCGCCGTCGATCCCCTCGAATATCCGCAGCACGCGCCGCAGCAGGTCCTCGTCTTCGGCGATCTCGTCGCAGCCGACCATGCGCATCGTGAGCTTGAACACGAGGCGGTACATGTCCTCGAACGGGTCGCTGATGCCCTCCGTCTCCGACCCGGCGATGTCGTCCGCGACGGTCGAGGCCTCGCCGACGCGGGCGGCGAGCTCGTCCATCGTGTCGCGCGTGTCTTTGATCAGCAGCGGGAGGCGCGTGTCGAGGAGTTCCTTGCGGAGGAGCTTGACGAGGTTACGGTTGAATTTGGCGCCGAAGCTGTCTTCCTCGGCTTGGGTACCGTTTTTAGCGACGTCGATGCGCGGGGTCGCGTTGAAGAGGGCGCCGTATCTGCGATGACGGTGTTAGTTGAAGTCATCGCCAACCCAAACCCAGCCAACCTCCCACTCCCACTCCCCCATGACCACGAACGACAGCGACGCAAAGAGACAAAACGTAAAACTCACCCCTTTGTGAAATCCAAATCGCGACTCTCGAAAAACACACGCCGCCCAGCGTCCCCAGACAACCCCACGATCCTCATCTTGCCAAAATAAAAACTCCAGTTCCCGAACCGGCCCGACCGCGCCCCCTCGGCCAGGAAATTCCCCCGGTCCGTGAAGAAGCGCGGCGTGCCGAGGACGGGCCACCCGCGCACCACCCTCGGCGCGTTGCGCGGGAACGAGGGGCGGTAGGCGAGGAAGCCGACGGCGTAGGCGAGCCCCGTGAGGAGGAGGACCCAGATCGACGTCGGCCACGTTTGCGGGCGGAGGAGGGTCTGGGTTGCTGCTGTCGCGAGGGACATTGTGGCGATGACCGGCTTTCTTTTCCCGGTTTTGTTGATCTTTTATTGTTGTATGGCGGTTGGTCGTGACCCTTTTCTTGGAGATTGTTTCTTCTTATCTGGCGATGTTTCCTTTTCCAAGAGAGCTCGAAGAGCTCACGGAGATGAGATGAAAGATCCGAGAGACGACTTCACCAAAACAGAGTTGCAGAGAAGGGAACAGAGAAAGTAAGAAACGAAGAAAGAAAGGGTAGGAACGATATCAGTCTGCGTAATAAGAGCAGATGGAGAGCGGGCGTGGCTCCAGCTGAGACGAGTCCGTTCGAAACGCTCGGGTAAAGAGGAGCGAGTGGAAGATGGGACTAACACCAAGTGACCACCGCGCAGTGAAGTCACAAGTATGAACTAGCTGATGATACCCTTGTCGTTGAAAACTCACAGACATCCATCACCTTTTTCCCTAGTACGGAATACTGACTTTGGGGCCTGCGCTAAGGTAAAGCCAGGCGAGCCCAGAGGAACTTTGGAAACCCAGGGAACCTTTGTTCCTCGTCTTCCTTGCCGTCATCTGGAACCCCTCATTCAGTCTCGAGCAAACGATCGGGGGAGATCCCTACTACGATCACGCACCACCCTAGAATGGGGAACACGTCAAACATTTCCAGTTGTGTTTATCCCGCGCAAGCTTCTTGAATTCCCGCCTAACTGCACCACGTCCCCGGATTCAGCAGTACCCAGATAGCAGACGACGAAAGATGTCGTGCGGCGTGGCAAAAAAAGCCAAAAAAAAAAAAAAAAAAAAGCTTCAGGAAATCATGTCGTCAAGGATACGAGCTCCGGCGGCGGGACACCAAACCTCTCTCCCCGCGCCTCAGATTTCTTTCCATTCGCCCCTTCGGTTCCCTCTTGACGGGTCATTTGAACGCGATCCAAAGTCCCCAAGCCTGCGTATGTCAGGACGTCGCTGGGTCCATTGAAACGCTCACGAATACGCAACTCCCAATTGGGTAACGCTCCCTCCAGGGTTCAAAGGGTCCGCGATCTGCTTCCCTCGCTTGGCGGGCTGCATACCACTCGCAGGGCCCTAGCTCGAGCAGCGAGCTACCTACCTTGCCGTGCTTGCCTGACACTAGCATTCTAGTTTTCACAGCTGCAAGACGGCTGCAGAAACGTGCAGAGCAAGGGCAAGCACCGGGAAGAAACACACCTCTTCGCCTCGGTGCTTGACTCTTGAGAACGTGAGAGCTCACCTGTACTCCGTACCAACTCAAAGGCCGGAATCACCAAGACATGTCTCCAGAAGCCCCCCCCGCCGGATCAGCCGCTAGTGGCAGACGGCGCACGGCAGATGCCTTAGCCGAAGGTGAAACTTTCCAAACGTTGAGGGGCGCGACGGGGGGCAGGCAGGGGTATGGGGGCAGGTCGGTTGGCATGTTTTGTTGTAGACGTGCATATCCCGTTTGCCGTTTGGAGATGCCATCCCAGGCACGCTTGTGAGCTTGAGCCAGCTCTGCTCGCGTATTCGCACTCTTAAACGAGTTGAACGAGGCGAGGCGGGGCGCATACCTACCCATACGTCGTTCCGGTTCACCGCCTTGGTGAAGGTAGACGCTTGTTGATGCATCGGTTGGGAATACTCGGTCATGGAGCTTTTTGAGATGGGTCTTTTCTACTCCTACTCCCAGGTATCATCCGATCTACGGAAGACTACTCGTACACTAGAAACTGACTGTAAGGGGAAGAAACGAGATTCGAGAGAAGACAGAGGCTCGTGTTCCTCGGTTCTCTCGCCGACCTCATCTCCATGCCTCATTCTACTCCGTTCGCGTTCTGGAAACTCTGGGATTCCCTTTCATCACTGCCTTATGTCCCACCCGTCCCTACCGGCAATACAGAAAAAGAGACTTTCCACCTGCGCCGGGATTTGAACCAACAATCCAACGGTTCCCTCCCCTTTCTGTCCTCATCTTCTCTCTTGATTAATCTTCAACTTGCATTTACCCAGATAGCCGTAACACCACCCGTTCCTACCAACAACCAAACCAATGAACCAATGAACCATCTCTCCCCTTCATCTAGGTACACACGTTCGCTCCCGCGCGTCGCGTGGCTAGAGTTCCCGAGTGGGAGAACTACAATCATCATCACCAATCGCCCATTATCCGGTCCTTGAATCTTCGCTATCATTCTCAAGTTCATCTTGCTCTGAGTGGTGGCCCGTCATCAGATACTGAATATCAAATCATTGGCAGGCGCAGACCGTGTCCGATGGAAAACAAAAAAAGAAGAAGAAAGGACTGAGCCAAGACATAAGGCTCTTGAAATTTAATACTTTAATAAACCTAAAGGAAAAGGGGTATCGTCTAACAATGCAAGCTATGCCACCATTCAGTCTCCCGCAACCACCCCATCACTCCGGTCCAACGTCTCCCGTCAACCCATAATCTAACAAAGTCAAGGAGCAGTACCTTTCCTCTTCATCACGGAACCAACACCAACGCCCAGAACATCGCCTTCAACAAGAACCGTCCAGTCCCAGAAACCATCAGCTCACTAAACAGCCTCCCAATCCATAGCCTCAACCATGAAATCAAACTCGTCCTCCTCCATCTCAACAACCCCTCCACCAGCACCACCACCGCCAGCACCACCACCACCACCACTACCAGCCCCCATCTCCGCCTGCACCCACTGCTCCGCAACCGCATACCCAGCATCAAACCCGGCAAAGATGTACCTAAAAATCCTGTCCAGGTCGTAGCTCTCCAACGGCGCCGTCCCAGCCCTCTCCCTCGCCGCCATGCTGCCCCTCCCACCCGCCACGGCCCCCCTCCCCGCGCCCCCGTTCCCGCTCCCGTTACCGTCCGGGTCCGCCGGGTCCTCGGCATACTTCCACCGGTTCCGCAGCTCCTTGGCCCTCAACAGCTGAAACACAACCTCTCCGCTCCCCAACGCCCCGTGAAGCGGATTATCCTCCTTCTCCAGCGCCGCAATCACGTTCCGATGATACGTGTGCGTCGCCCGCTGCGTCCCGTTCCCCTGCCTCGTCGTTGATGTCGTGGTGACCCACCCGTCCCGCGAAATGGTGATCCCAAACACGCCCATCAAATGCACCAACGCCCGCTCCAGCAACATGTAATACTCGTAAAAGTCGAGCTTGAACATGAGCTCCGCCTCCTCGGCGTCCGTCTCGCCCCCGTACAGCGGGGATTCAGGCCGTGCTATGGCGTGGTGGTACCCGTGGCTCAGGTACGGCAGCTTCCACTTCAGCCGGCGGACGATCTGAATGTACCGCTTGAACTCCTGCTGCGCCGAGGGGCCGCCGCTCGGCCGAGGTGCGTGAGAGGAGGTTGCGTTCGTGTTTGTGTTCCCGCTGTCGTGGCTGTTGGGCGTAGCCGTCCCGGACGTGGAGGTAGTCGTGGCGGGTCGGTAGGCGCCGTTCTTGACCGGGGACGGGGGTCTCGGTGTGGCGGGTGTGATGATGGAGGAATGGTACTGGTTTGACTGGTATTTGTACAAAGGTTGGGCTTTGCCTCGGGCGGCCCAGATAGAGTCGCCCAGACCCTTCTTGGTTTTTGACATGCCGTTCATTTCGAATCTGGAGGCGTCGGCCCGGCTGGGCGTGGGTCGTTTCTTCTCTCTCGTTTTCGGGGTCACTCGCGGTGGTTTATGTCGTTGACAGGCTTCCGGCACAGATGCTCGATGATGGAAGCTGCGCTTGAAAAGAGAAGACGGAAATTGCCCTCGACTCCGTGAAATCGGGCAATGGCTGACGACAAAAGTTGGAGTCAAGTGTTGGCAGGCTACTTCGATAGCTTTGGACAGATGCACACAAATGATGGATTGTAGAGACTGATTGTCAGAAAGAATGTTTGCGCGAAACAACGTTGCTTGTAATGCAACACGGGCGACAAAGTCATCGAACAATGGACAACGGGCGTCGGCAGCCCCTTTTGTGTCTCACGTCGTTGTTGGTTCGGCCGGCGTCTATCGACCTTCCAAGTCGGAAAAGGGAGTGGAAGCCGGGAAGTTGTCGGGGCGGGCGAGCTTGTGAGGTAATGGATGGTGGGGTTGGAGCATTGGCACAGGCAGGGGAGGTTAGGTCCGGCCGGGCAGTTGCAGCGGGGAGGACCTTCAGGCCATAATGCCTTACCTCAGCGCCCAAGTTCCCCACGGCTGACATCTCTATCATGAGGTGATGAATGGAGCCATCTCCCAATTGCTTCACACAATCACTCTCATACTCCAATTGAGTGTGTACAAAGTGCCCTTGGGCTTGTCATTGTATGTCGAAATCGTACTCATACGTATTTCTAGGATATACAGCTTCAACAATGCCCCGTCAACCACGCAATAAATCCTCCAACGCCGGGCCCGGTTACCGTGACTCTGATCCAAGAACGCCTTCATCAGCCATCCGGCCGGTCTGCTACGCCTTCTTCGTAGCCTTGGCTGTGCCAATATGGGTATTATGAACCTGCTTCGCGTTAGCATGTTTCTCTCATACATGTGTATTCGCAGCCGCATTGAACTCACTTTGGTAGCAAAACGCAAACTCGTCACCGTCTCCTTCAGATGCGCCTCCAACGGGCTGACCATCACAAACATGAGCGTCTTGCTGTTACCCCCAAGGGAGTACTGGAGCAGATGCGTCAACTTGGAGTTGCGATAGGGGATGTGTCCGCTCTTCTTGCCGAGCGCCTCAATCACATCGCCGAGACACGACAGAGACTTGTTGATGTTCTGTGTCTCCCTCATCCTGGCGCCCTCGGCCTGCGAGTGTTTGAGCCGCTCGGAGCCCGCAAGATCCACCAGGTTCAGTGTACCTTCGCACCGCTCTCCCGTTGCCGAGTTGTAGCCAGACAGCTTGAGGATGAAGACGCTGTGCGAACGCGACGACCGCTCGTTGGCCTTGGTAGCCGCCACTGACCGGTTGTTCTGCGCCTCAGCGAGCATCACCTCCACCGTATCCGCCGAATCAAGAGACACAGTCTTGCAGTTGAGCACTGCCGTCTGCTTGCGGGCATCGTCGTGTCGGATCTCGAGCTTGCGCACCCTGCCGTCCGACTCGCGGCTGTTGGGCGTCAACAAGTCGTTGAGCTCCTCGTTGTACACCTCAATAAAGGAGCCCTCCATCTTGTAGGTCCACTGCTTCTCCTTCAGCTTGGTGACCGTGTCGTAAATCATGTGCGTCGCGCGAGGAATCATGCCGTCTGCAGAAGACATGGTGTGCGTCTTGCCAGATCCCGTCTGGCCGTAGCAAAAGATGCACACGTTGTAACCGTCGAGCGCGCTTTGCACGAGCTGCGAAATCTCGTCAAACACATCTTGGTTCTGGGCCGACGGGTCGAACACCCTGTCAAACTCAAAGTTGATGTTCTTGTTCGACACGTCGCCGAAACTGTTGACTTCCTGCGTCTGCAATGCAATCTCGGCAGATGTCTTCTCATCGGGGAAGGTAACCTTGGCCGGCGTACCCTCTGACGAGCTGAGCACAGGACGGACTCTGCACATGACGCGGATATTGCCCTTGAGCTCCTGGTACTTGTTGAAGAGGACGCGGCGTTCCGTCTCCTCCTTGATGAGCTTCTCCTCGGCCACTTGGGCCGCCTTGAGCGCTTCCTGCAATCTGGCTTCCATGTTGGAGAAGGAGTCTGACTGCGCCTTACTATCTGACTCGAGGAACTCGACATGAGACTTGAGCGAGTTGATCTTGGCCTCGAGGGTGACGTTGGAGGCAGAGAGTTCCGAAATGCTGGCTTCGAGTCCCTTTTTGAGACTTTGCTCGCGGTCCAAATCTCCCTTGAGCGTCTCCACTATGCCTCTCATTTCCGACACTTCTCTGTCCTTCTTTTGAAGGACGGCGTTGAGATCTTGCTGCTCATGGCCGAGCCGCGTTCGTAAATCTTGCACCTCCCTAGACTTCTGGTGACGCTCTTCCTCAATCTCGGCTTTGAAATGTCGCTCAAGAGCATCCAAAGCCTCGCGGTGACTCTTCTCCGCTCGTTGTGTCTCATCCTTGAGCTCGCGTCGCAGTTCGTCCAGCTCGTGGCGGTGCTTCCGGGCTTCGTCCTCGAGCTCATACTTGTGACTGCGTTTTTCCGTCTCGGATTCAATTGTCAGTTTTTGCATCTGGTCGCGCATGTTGTTGATTTCATTTTGGAAATTCCCATTGCGGTCTTCGAGTTTGTCTCGTTCCGCTTCGAGTTCAGATACTGCCAGCCGATTAGTTCAGTCCGCGCTAAGGTAGCTCGTCGTCCGAACTACTACTCACTTCTCTTCTTGTACATCTCCACTCGCTCGTCCATCAACTCCTTGTCAGAGAGCATGACAGTCATTGACTCCTTCACCTGCTTAAACTGCGAGTCAAGCTCGGCAACCCTGCCCTCGACATCCCAGCCTACGAATTGGGTCAAGTTAGAATCTTTTGTGAGAAAATGAAGTCTAGAAGGAGAAGGGGATCTAGCCGGGGATCTCGAGTCCTTGATGGCAATGATTGTTTCTTCGAGTCTCTCCATCAATGCCCTCGATCGCTTAGAATCTGGCGAAGGCGTGACAGGATCGGTCATGCGACTGGCCTGCCTCTTCTTGGGCGACAGATCTGGCGGTTTCGTGAGGGCCCTGCGTGATGGCGCGCGCATGGTGGCATTGTCCACTTGCGCGATGCTCGCCATGGTCGAGATTGAACTGACGCTGGTGTCTCCTCCATATTGGCTGAAAACCACTTGGTCTTCATCTTGTGCTGAGCTTGTCGTACTGGCGTCGTCCTTGATGGATAGTGCGCCAAACCGACTGCTAAGAGAAACTTCTCTGTGCGAATGCATTTGGGACGTGTGACTGGCGTGTCTAGCCTTGCTAGGCTGAAATTCAAGGGGTCGCAGAAAGTTCAGTCGCTGGGAATGCAGAGCCGTACCATGCTGTTGTTCTATTGGTCCATCAAACTCTTCCTCAGATCGATGACCGTATGCCGTGCGCGGTCTCGTATGCGGATTGGTGTTTCGGGTCCGGGACTGTCCGTGTACCGACTTTGAGTGAGCAAGGGAGGATTTTGCACGTTCATGGCCTCGGGGGCCGACGCTCGCGGAGAAGCTGCTGTTCTGATTGTATCGTGATGTCGTCGTCCCATTTCGAGGTCTGATATTATCTGGGTTTTTGAGCTGCTGCGAGTCAGCATGTAAACTACATGTGGTTGTAGTGAGCGAGCATCGGGCGGTACACAACGCAGCTCATCCCTGTCGTCCGTCTCGTCGTCGCATTCCATGGTCTGATAGCATTCGGCGTCTTGGACCTCGGCGTCTAGGAGTAGTCGAATGCCGCTACGTGTGTTGTCGCCGTCGCTTTGTAACCCCAGCCACAGTTGTAGTCTACCGGAGACGCTTCGCATATACGTTGGCGTGGGTACTGAAGGACCGTTTCGAGGACGAGAACGTGGTCGGCTGAGGGTGTTTTGGTGCCAGGGAAGCGGGAAGAACGCAAGCAGCCTTTGCCAGAGGAATGGTCGAGGAACGGCCTGGATGACAACCCGCCAGATATGCCGTATAGAGCGAAACAGGTGCACCGCTATCCAAAGGATCGTCCGAAGACCGTCAAGCCGGAGAACGATGCTGGAGGCCGTAGTCGACTCGGGGGCCATGTCCAAGGAGACGGGACGCTTCGACGTCGGTTGTTCGGGATGAGGTGCGAGGTGGACGATTCACACATGGGCAACGCAAGGCAACGAAACCGGGGAACCTACCTCTGCCAATGTCGACCCGGGCACCCGCCTGACAGAAGGGGCCCTGGCGATGCCAGAAGCACCCGCGCCTGCCGCCGCCGAGGATGGCTTGGTCGGGTATTCGCCTGCCCTCTCGGCGAGGGTCTTGTGGTGCTTGGTAGCCGAATGCTCAGCTGTAGAAGGCACTGTCAGCAGCCGCAACCAGTCATCCCAGCGCAAACCGGGAGGGTAGTAAGACCAACCTGGCTTGGGGACCTCCCTCTTCAGGTTCATGGCGCTGTTGAGGGAGCCAATCTTGGATGCGCCCGGCGGCGGTATCATGGACGGGTGCGCGCGCGCGTTGCTTTGCGCTTCGTTCATTTCGGAGAGGCCAGAGGTGAAGGCGCCTGGTCGCGGGAGGTTGCTATGAGGTCGCATGACGGAGGATCGGAAGTGATGCTGCTGTGAAGGGGCATGTTGTTAGCTGCGTATGGTCCATCGTGGCTCTGCTCTGTCGCTGCTCTGGTTCATTGTAGCTTTGCGACATCGCCAAAGCTTCATGTCCCGGATCTGGATGTGAATGCAAGACATACCGTATTCTCCGCAGTGTCCATGTTGAGGATGCTGTCTACGCGACGAGCGACAACGGGTATGATGATGTGGGACACGAGGAGCAGCGCTCCGGTTCTGGACGCGGTAGGAGAAGACGTTGTGAAGTTGGAGCAGGCATGCGGCAAGGAGCAGCAGCAGCAGCAGCAGCAGCAGCGGGAATGGCTCACAAAAAGAGAGAGCCCACAGCTATGATTGCAGTATGGGGAGGGGTGTGGGTTGTCAATCGTGACTGGTGGAGAGGTGCATCACCAGGGTCTGAGTGTTTACTGTGAATTGTGTACACAGT